AAAATGAAGATATTCTATTATTAACAAACGTGTAAAATTATTTGTATTAAATACATATTTTAAAAGATTTAATCAAGGTCGAATCTGTTCGAAGAAAACAACAGTTCATATTTATCAACCTAATACATAAGCTAATATGACCATTGCATCGATGCATTTACATGTACTATCGCAATGTTATTCATAATGGACTTTTTATGTTCCAAAGATAAAAACAATAAATACTTGTTTACTACTAAGTTTTGTTAAAAAATATTTCCCGTTTCCAGAAACGTGTTCACCAGAAGTGCAAGCGAGGACGCGATCGATTAACGATCTCTCGTACAACGCAACGCTACGAAATCGACGCAATTAACACATTGCTAAATCACGCGCAATAAAGTAGCACTCGAGTAAGATCTAATACCGTTGTCTATTATGTCTAGTATCGCGCCTTACTATCGTTGTTTAACGTGCAAAAGAACTGGTCGAGCTTTAAAGCGAATACCCGGGTCAATACGTTAATTCCTATCTATCAGGATGTTCGAGATACATAAACTACGAATATGCATGCAAACACGACAGAATAAATGAAAAGTATAAATAATATTCCATTTTATTTGCACAAATGTTTTGACGAAATAATGAATTTTAGAGTGCCATAGTCATTATCAATTTCCTGTACCTATTCTATATTTACACGTTTGTATTCCTTATAAATTCATAAATATTTTCTGTTTTATCTTTTTCTGATTCATCTTTTTGCGCCAGTGCACGAAGAGAGAGAGAGAGAGAGAAAGAGCCAGTGCCTGGAGAGAAATCAAATTGATAATACATATGTCGTCCTAGGATCGACAATTCCAGGGCGGGTTTACGTTACAAACTTTGAAATTGAACGAGTTACGAATTTCGTGAGGAGAATGACCAGGAAATGGTCGCAGAAAGGAACGAAACAAGTTTGTGACTACATACGTACATTTATATTACAATGACAAATGAAAATAGATGCAAAGATTGATTAATTTAGACTTATATGTTAATTATTCACGCGTAGCATGAGAGCTTTATTTCATTATACTTTATGAAACATAACGTATGATTTATTAAATTCCTTCCCCTTCATTTATTTTCTCTCATCAACCTTCAGTAACGGAAAAAGAAAAATGAATAAAAGAACAAGGACGTCCCACTAACAATAAGTATACCTTTTAAATAGATATCAAAATTCCTTATCATGTCATTTGCAAAACATTATTAACAAATTGCAGAATGATAAAGTAATGTTGCGTAATTTAAAAACTGTTGTAAAATACGTTCATTATAACACAATAGTATATTGATACTGATGAAAATTGAAAAAAACGATGCGTAAAATACGATATTAGGCTAAAAATAATAATGAGATTGACAAATACTTATCTATCGAATGTGATGTAAATTATTTTTTGATCGTCTGGTTCAATTCCTTAACGAAATATTGACACATTTATTCAATTAATGTTAATTGTAATATTATACATACATGTATGTATATATGTGTATGTATGTATATGTACGCACACATATTAAGTAAGCTACACGTGTATATTTTGTAGCTACAATAAATAATTAGAATGCGCATAAGGTAATAAATATGAATACGCGCTTGAATATTATCTATAAATATCTAATCAATGCGAGGATCGATGGTGATCTTTGATCTCTAACGCGTAATGTTTTTGTTTATGCGATGAAACTACTGGCTGGGTTTCTAGAATCCTGTAGATCACACACCGTTGGTCTATTTTCTCTCTAAATCTGTAAGACTGCAACAAACTCTTGCAACAAATGAAAGTGGCCGCATAGCGACCGAGTTCTGTGAGATCGGACAACGACAACATGCTCGACGACGAAGACGATGTCGATGTTCCGACTTGTCGGGGAACAAGGATCGGTGCGCGTAAAAGCACCCACAAGTGAGACGTCGCGAAGCGGAACGATGGAAGGGAGGAAAAGGTAGAAACGGTAAGTTAGAAGGAGGAAAGAGACAGATAGAAAATGACAAAGACGCGAAGGAAGATAAATGCGGAATAAACGAGTGCGAAAAGAAAGAGTGCAATTTTTCATACCGGCTGTTTGACTGTTCAACCAACAAAGACAACGCTCATTAACATTCTAACATAACATATAACAATCATCGAATGGGAAGGAGAGATAAAAATATAGAACGAACGAAAGTAAGAGTGGGCCAGAAAATGGGAGAGAGAGAAAGTAAGAAAGAGAGAAATAAAGTAGGTGGAATAAGTCAAAGAGAAAAGATACAAAGTTTGAGAGAGATAGATAAAAACAGATAGACGAAGTTGAATCAGCCACGAACAAGCGAATGAGTGAGAGAGAGAGAGAAAGATTTGAACGTTGACAACGACAACAGTTTCCTTAAGTTCGTATACATCGTATACATTTATGGATCAAAATACCCACACGTTAAATGCTCAGATAATATCATACGTAGTACAGTTTAAAATTGATCCTCGGATTTTCTGTGTTTAACGGTACTGATCGCAGTAATGATGACAAAAACAAAGGAAAAAGAGAACGCACGAAATACAGGAACAACATATTAAAAGATAAATAGTCGAGTTGTCATAATTACGAGGACAGATCTATCGAAGACGAAGAAACTGAAAGGTACAGAACGAAAGAAAGAACAAAGGATGGAGTTGGCTGGTTGTTGGTTGGTCGATCAGTGAAATAAAGACAGTAAACGAGAGGAAAGACAAGGAAAGAAAGAGAGTGAGAGAGAGGAAGAGCGCGCGACGATTGAGGTAGACAGAAAGAAAGAGAATGAGAAGAGAGATATACATGAAATGGTAGCGATCAAAAAGTAAGAAGCCTGCGACTCCTTTACGAAGGACACATCACCGAAACATGTTTACCATCGGTTTTGGTTGCCTGTCGTTAAGATGAACGCTCCACATCTAAGCGGAAAAACATTAACAGACATTACAGAGACCAGAGGAGCGGATCAGCTGTTCGCCTCGGCAATGACAACATTGGACACACGCACGACCCCCCCGTGGTGACTTTGACGCGCGTTTTACATTCAGCTCGTTTACTGTCAGACAATGCATTGACTTACCTCGAGCCTGGTACGCCCGGAGTGGATCATCCTTTTGCGTCGCGTTATTTTGCAAAGTTTACGGGAATACCCGCACGGTTTTACGGAAAAAGAAATGTCGTAGCCGAGCGAGTTGCTACGCTTCGCGAGAGAAATGGCCGAGTCTACTGAATATGAGCCGTGCCGCCGTTACTGGAGGGGGGAAAGGACGACCGATGCACTTTCCGGTGGAACGGAAAATAGACTACTCGATTGGTTGCATCAACCTGACTTGGCGACAACGCCGCCAATCCCATCGCGTCTAGCCATTGTTTACACGCTTCTTATTGGATCGTTATTTTTGAGGGAGCGCGAAGAAAACATGCAACACGGATGCAACGAAACCAGAGACACTGGTGTTAAATTTGCGAGATGTATGTGCACCTACACGATCGACTGTCGTTACAATTTGAAGAATATTTGGTTTGTTCTAGCAGAATCTTCTCGGTGGCCACATCGAACATTTTTCAAATTAGAATCATTCTACTAAAGGGTGGTAGTGTCCGTGGATCGTTGGGACAGCGAATGGAGTCCAATGGAGTTCAAAATACAATCGGTAATCTCTCCTCAGTGTCGGCATCGAAGAAGTCGGTAAATGACCAAGGACACCGTCAGTTTCCTGTTCGATAGCCGGTATGAGATCGATGCTAGCGTCCTACGTTTATCTATTGCCACCGAGGAGAGATTACTAAAGACAGAGATTAGTAATCTCTCCTCGGTAATCTTTCTCGGTGCTCGACAACAAAGAAGTGAGCATTCTCATTTTTCTCTCTAAAACATACTCACCAATTTATCCTTGGAGAACAACGCTCTAACGTAGTTGCTGCAGCATATATTAGTTGGCGCCACCATGTCATTATTTCGAAGAATTAATTTGTACCTGTGCGATAGTACTGAGGCCAAAACACCCTTCTTTGTATTCAAAAAAGAATATCATATATCGTATAAGAATATCATATATTGTAATAATTAATGAAAACGTAATATTGTAATGAAAGAAGTTAAACATTTAATAAATGATGATCTGATTTAGTTAATTCAAAGGCCTGGATTATGAAAACGAAACAAGGACCAAAATATTTCTCATATTAGAAATAACAAATATTTAAGGTGACGCATAACATCCT